AGAAGAGAGGGCAGAGACAAGAAGAAGAGGCAGAAGTACACAAAAGATAAGCCCTCATTTACAAAACAAAATATACTAAATAATGTCTAAAAAGGAGAAGGAAGTTAACAGAAGTCTGTGTACGCGATTTTGAAACAAGGCAAGCACAAAGAGAAACTAAGAGGGACAGGAAGGACTGGCCGAGGAGCAGTGCCCAGTGATGGGATGGAAAACTAGACAGGGATGTTTGCAACATTTGGTAATGAATTTTACACTTGACCTTTTAAACTGCATGCATATATTACTCTGACAAAAATAAAATGTAATTGGAAAGTAAAACTTATAGTCTCTCACCTTAAAAAAAAGTCTTTGTCCCTCCACTCAACAATTGAGAGCACTGGCCACCTTAGGCACCAGACAGGCATGGCACAAACGTACATACACACAAGCGAAACACACATACACATAAATTTTTTTAAAAAAGGGAAAGAATGGGTTTAAGAAGAAAGGAAAAGAAAGAAAATTGTGTCTGAGGAACACAGGAAAATAATTGATTCCCTGGAACTATTAAGAATTTGAGTGAGTCAGGTAGGATGCAGAGGCAGGTGGATCTCGGAGTTCTAGGCCAGCCTGGTCTACAGAGCAAGTTCCAGGACAAAGAGACCCTGTCTTGAAACAAACAAACAAGCAAGCAAACAAAAAAGAGTTTGAGTGAAGCTTGTAGATGAATTTCTAAATAGTCTTAATAAATAAGAATGCGGAGCCAAATATAGAGGTGAAAGCCTTAGAGATCAGGGAAATAGTGATACCACCAACCTTACCTCTCCAGCTCTGCAGCTACCAAAAAGGAGCTACTTCCTGTCTAACTTGTGCCTTTATTGCCTTGCTGTTCTGCCCTCTCATTGGCTCTTAGCTCAGCTACCTCACTTCCTTGTCATTGCCTGTCTGTACAGACCTCCAGGTCTCTGTGGTTGGTACTGGAATCAAAGGCTTGTGTCACCAGCTTGGCTGTTCCCTAGTATGTCTTTGAACACACAGAGACCCTGCCTGCCAAGTGATCAGATTAAGGGTGTGTTCTACCACTGCCTGACTTTTGTGTTAATGGCTTGCTATTACCTCTGATCTCCAGGCAAACTTTATTTATTAACATACAAATAAAATACCATCACATTTCAGCACAAATAAACTATCACCACAGAAGCTGGTCATGATGGCACATGACTTTAATCTCAGAATTTGTGGAGCAGAGATGGGGGGATCTCTGTTGAGTTCTGGGCCAGCTTGGTCTACACCACTATTAACCTCAAATATTTTACATTGGTATATTGATACAAATTTAAAGTTATTTTTGTTATACTATATATATGTTTCTATTCTTGTTTAAGGTATTGTGCTTATGCAGCTTATTTTAAAATGCAATGTATAATTAAGAAATGCAGATTATTTGTCATCTATAATCAAACTTGTAGTCATGTTAGGTATGTTTTCAAGATCATACAAATATATATTTTAGATAGATAGGTGATTGTCAAACATGTCAAAGGCCTACAAAATATGGCATTTAAGATGTTTAATAACCTAAGGCTTTTCATGACAGTGAGACAAATCTGCCCAATGTTTTGCCTTGATTGCTGACAGTATGCTATGCAAACTGGACAAGCAGGACACACAGGAAGAAGACTGCTGAACTTTGCCAAAATAAGGCAGGATAGTCCTTCAAAATTCCTGCTTCATACAAAAGTCTGCCAGACATTCTGCAGGACACACAGGAAAGTGACTGCTGAACTTTGCCAAGACTAGGTGGGACAGTCCTTTAAAATTCCTGCTTCATAGAGGAGTCTGCCAGATAGTCTAGGCCTATAGACTGAAGATGAATGCCCCAACATTATAGAAGAACCTTGAGCGACTGTCCAGGCAGCCAGATGACTGTCATTTCTATAGTTTTGGAAGTGACTTACACTGCCCTTCCTATTTATTCAGGTAGTATTATATCCTTCTGAAGTCTTTGATGAAGTTGAAGACTAGATAGTTATAGTTACAGTTTTCCATAATTCTGATAGAAGGTAAATTAGCTACAAATTTGGATTCACCAAGATAGGATAAATAATGGAGTATTTTTTTCTGGATTTGCCAAATACAAATGGACTGGATATTGTAAATGTAATTCTTACTTGATAATTGTTCTTTTTGTATATAGTGTTACTATGTTGAAGTTACCTTTCCTTTTTAATTTAGACAAAAAGGGGGGAATGTAAAATATTTTAACTAGGTAAAGATGTGTTACATTTGCTTATGCTGTGGAATATCATTTTAATTGTGTAAAGGTGTGTTACATTTGTTTATGCTGCATTTGTTTAATGAATGATGTGAGGGTTGTTACATTTGTTTGTGCTGTATTTGTTTAATTATGTAAAGATGTGTTGCATTTTTTCACCTTGCCTGCCTAAGGCACCTGATTGGTCTAATAAAAAGCTGAACAGCCAATAACTAGGCAGAAGAGGGATGGGGGGGGGGCGGCTGGCAGGCTCAAGGAGAAGAGAGAGGAGAAGAGAATGAGGGAGAAAGAGAGGGAGATGCCCAGGGCCAGAAGCCAGACAGCTTCCAGTCAGCCAGACAACAGAAACAGTGAAAGTAAGATCTACAGAAGGAAACAAAGGTTAGAAAGCCCTGAGACAAAAACATAGTTGAAGAGAAACAGGTTAAGTTACGAGAGCCAGTGGGACAAGCACAAGATAAGGCCAAGCTTTCATAACTAATAAGAAGTCTCTGTGTCATGATTTGGAAGCTGGTTGGTGGCCCAAAAGAAAAAGCCTGGTACAAGACAGAAACAGCGTATTGATTAAAATCTCAAGATCTGAACTGTAATTTCTACCGACACATATTATTTTCATACTACATAAACCAAAGAAATCATAAAATTGAAGTTTGTAAATCAAACCATTGAATTAGGCTATACTTCCTTAACATTCACATAAATCATACATACATGCATACATACGTATATCACCTGAGTATTAGAGGAAATGATGATAATGATGGGTAAGTAATCTAAGCAGAATAAATGTATTAGTTCGTTTTCTACTGCAGTGACAAATACCATGACCAAAAGCAACTTAGGGAGAAAATAGTTTATTTGACTTACATATCCAGATCTCACTCCATCATTGAGGGAATTCAGGGCGTGAACCCAAGCAGGAGCAGAGGCAGGAACCATGGAAGGAAGGTGCTTCCTGACTTGCTCCTTAGGCTCACATTCAGCTACCTTTTTTTTTTTTTAACTACAACATCTGATATATTCATGCATAGTGAATTCTCATGGGATATGGAAAAACAATGGTTATTAGAGATGAATGTGTACGCATGTGTGTGTGCGTGCATGCGTAATAATGATGCATGCATGACTCTAAAATAGCGTACCTTCCCCCCTCTAGGGAATCATAGTGAAATGACCTTCTCCTACAGTGGTAAATACTAGAAGAAGTTACTTTGTAATGCTAGTTTAAATATTGAGTCAAAATCTTTCCTGTAATAAAAGAATACACCCTTGGAACTTTAAAGAATTTTTATAAAATATATATCAGCATAAGTCAGAGAAATAAAAATGTTATGGAGTTCAAGACTCCTGGGAAAAGACCACAGGCTTGATCTGGATTATCATTAGTTCCATTCATTCAAACGGCTAGCAGGATAACAATTTCTGAGCCAAGCTTGAGACTGCCATGGGAAGGGAGTAAGGGGAGGGTTTTAAAGGTGAAACCGCAGGAAGACCTTGAGTTCTGTACAAGCAGGTTATAGAAGCCAAAAAAATCAGTTAGTCACATCAGAACAAGATGGTCACCGAGGCTATACGTTTTGAGGTGGGGTCACTGTGTCAGGGTTACTGGGAACTTACCTTCCAGGGACTTGCAATAGAGAGACAACTGGTCAGCACCAAGATGGATGACCACCCTAAGTGAGTTTCTTTTGTCGTCACAAAAGGAATAATAATGTTTCTCCGTTGTGTTTTTAAACCACCTTCAGCTGTCTTTTTTATACTCAATAGGACCTTTGCCCAGGGATGGCACAGCTCGTAGTGGGTCTGCCCTCCTACATCGATCACGAATCAAGAAAAGGCCCCACAGACTTTCATACAGGCCAGTCTGATGAAAGCATTCTCTCAACTGAGGTTTCCTCTTTTCAGATGACCCTAGTTTGTGTTCAGGTGACAAAAAATTAACCAGAACAATCAAGTTGAAAGCATGTAGGTGAAAACAATGAAGAGGAGAAATTGATGGATTGGAAAGTCCATGGAATTGTGGACTCAGTGAGGTAGAGAAAGAGATGAGATATGATAGAAGAACAGGTTGTGTGGAATTCTGGTTCTGAAATAGTTGTACTTCCTCACAAAGATCAAGTTGCAAGCAAGGACCCTCAATTCTTTCCCCTCATCCTCTGGGCTAGAGTTCACACTCCATCATCTCCAAGAGGTTCTGTGTTTCAAAACTCCCCTTTCTTTCAAATTGAGATGAGAGAGCCTGGTAATGGTCAGTTTTTCTTGGGATCTAAGACTGAAAAACACATGGGGTCTAAACTATAAAGACAGCCACTATGGAGACTTGTATATAAGAACATTATGATTCACAGAGTCATTTTCCCATAGGTTTAAAAAGTTTGTCTACACCTACCGAATCTTCAGAGAGAAACATGGATATTACAAGATACAGGTAAGAGGACATAAGGACTGCCACACAACCAGTGTGGGAATTAGGGAAAAGCTGGGGTCATCTCCTGAAACTTTGATGTGGCCACACGGAGGATTTAAAAAACAGGAGTGCCATCTCAAGTTTGATAAGCAGTGAGCTTGACTTTTCTCTGAGAGAAAGAGGCCAGTACTAGAGTTGAGCTCCACATTTCAGTAACCCTGGCTGTTCCTCCAGACTGTGGAGGCAGCCACGCCCGCTCCTGTGAAGGTCAAACACATGGACCTGGACTCCACTGACAACTGTTGTAATACTAACATCTGAAGCATGGGAGTGGGGAGGGCGGGTGGGCAGAAGCTCCAGTGGTCCAAAGCCAAGCATGTCCACAGCTGCCGGAAAACGGAACAGGCGCCATTTAAATAGCTGGAAGTTTCAGGGACTCCTTTAGTGTTTCTGGTTTCCTGTGCACTCAACAGAGAAATCTCTTTGCTTCTTTTGAATTTAGTTATACTCTTTAAGAAGTAAGTATAACAAATGTAATGGAATTCTTAATTACCAACATAAGATCTTAAAATACATTCTGAAAAACATCTTCAATATGCTCATGTAACTGTGAATATCCAAAAGAGATTAGAACCTACAACGATCCCTAAAATACTAAAGCATCTATTTTTTTCTTTTGCTGTGGAGGACATCCTTGAGGCAATTGGTAAAATTTGAATTTGTTTCAAAATTCAAACAAGAAAAAAAAATTCAAACAAGATTAGTAACTAGTACTTCATGAAAGTTAATTTTCTCATTTTAGTCATTATAACATGATTGTGCAATGTCTTTGCCTTTTGGGCTACGAAGTACTTAGAATTAAAGAAATATCATGCCTTCAACTTAACTCCTCAAATGTTTTTGAATATTTCTTTGAGGCTATAATATAATTGTATCATGGTCCCTGCCCTTTCCTCCCTTCAGGCCCTCTTACACACACACACACACACACACACACACACACACACACACACACCCCTCTAAATACATAAATATAACCTACTCAGACTGCATAATGTCACTTGTACCCATAAACTTTCACTAACATGGCTGCCTAAACACGACTTGAACATGGCTGACACCAACAGACATGCGAATGTGGACAGAGGAAAGCTCATGGGGCCTCAACCCAACTTAAAGAAATACAGGCAGCTAAAGGATGCTGAGAGTGGGAGAAATGGTCCTCTGCGGGAAAATCACACCGAACTGGCTATTGAATTTCAGCCCTGAAAACAATTTTTAAAAAAGGATAAACATATGCAAACTGGTTATGGTGGCTCATGCCCATAATCCTAGCCCTTAGGAGGTAGAAGCAGGAGGTTCAGAAGTTCAAGGTCATCCTCACCTATGTAGTGCACTTGAGGCCAGCTTGGGCTACTTGAAACCTTGTTTCAAAAATAGAACAAAATACATATCTATATGTATTTATAGATGTGTATGTATATATGTATGTACATATAAATATGTATATGTATATATAAATATATAAGCTTACACATTTTAGAGAGAATAAGAAAGCAAACAAATAAAATATCACTATATAGAACATACATGGAGAATTTATGGGAATTTTACTTTTACTATTTTTCCAATTTGTCTGTGTCTGTCTGAAATTACCTCGAAATAAAATGCCTTCTATAAAGCAGACTCTTTCGAAATCCATTTTTTCCTTTTTTCTTGTATGCATTGGGGAATTCTGGATAGTCCCCCCAGAACCTGTTTTATCCCTTTTGTTCATTTTTATGAACAAAACGGGGAGCACTCTATATGGCACATAACTCAGATCCAGAGAAGCATTTGGCTGAGAGGCTTTGCATTTGCAGACCTGCAGCAGGTGATGCTTCAAGCTGAAGCGACCCCGTTAAAGAAACGCACGCGGAAGCACTCACATCTCTACCCTGGAGGTTAAGCGTGCAGTTCAACAAACCACCTTCCAGCCATATCTGTTGGCCGATGCTAGGGCTGTAGGAACCACCATGGTGATGACCAAGAAAACCACATTCAAAAGAGCAGGGGAAGAAAACTCTTTGTTTTCAAATTCCTTCTGTCAAGTTATATCAGAAAAGAGGACTTTTCTTTTCTTTCTAGTTGCTAACTGGAAAACAAGTCCCCAATTTCACTAAGTCACGCTGACATCCTTCTCTCAGTATAAAATGGGACTTGTTTCTCTTATCTGCGCCCGGTGGAGAGTCCACACGCATCTTACAGGTCAATTATTTTGCATTTCCTCTCATGAGTTCCCTAACTTAGCGAAGGCCGGCAGCCCGACAGCCCGACAGGGAACCCCAGCGGAGCTACCGTAAGAACCACCCCAGAGAAATTGCCACGGTTGGGGCTCACTTAATACAGTGACTGAGGATCTTTAAAGTAGAAGTTCACTTTAAAAAGCGTAGCTGGGGCACAAGGTTCCTCTCCAGAATGAGGAACCTCTGTGACAGGCAGTGGGTGAGAACCCTGGGCCTGTGTGGCTAGCCTCATACTTTCCGCTCTTCGACTCTCAGAAGCAGCCCTAAAAACCACTGTTGCAAGAAGTGTCGCGTTTTGCCCACAGTTGCGCAATGAAGAGTGACCGTTTTTAATGTCTTTGCAGACGGCGGAAGGTGTTCCAAGGCAGATCTTTCCAAACCTAGAAGAATTAGTCTCCAAATATGAGAAGCCGGGCCAAGGACTGGTGGTTCACCTTTCAAAGCCAATAATGAGAAACAGCTTCTGCCAGAGAGGGAGAAGAGTGAAGTCAGAGCCGAATGTTTACGGTAAGAGCCCCGACAAAGGGTCAGAAGGGACCCTGAATCCGACATCCACCCCGGGGTCTACTCTGCAGAGTGGCCATGGAGGACTTGTTCTAGGACATTACTCTAAAGAGCTTCATCCCGATAGGTGCAGTTTCTACCGTACTGAGACACAGCATCTTCTAGCCCCTGCGTGTGGCCAAGACATAGAGCTGCCTGTTCTAGGACAGCTAGGAAGGAGAGGAAAAGTCCTGAGTGAAAAGCTGACTTGGAGTTCATTCTGTGACCACGTGCAGTCCACTCACGGGAATAAATGCACATATGAACAGGTTTTCACTGGAAAAAACCAATCATACCAAATCACCCACCAAGGCTTATCCTGTTACCCTTTGTTCCATCTTTGGCAAACATTCATTTATGAAATGATCAGGGACAAATTATTTCATATATATCCCTAAAGGTATGAAGCCATTGAGATGCATGGGTGTCAGTATGTGTGAGGAAAGTCTATTCACAGAACTCTCAGATCTCGTTACAAGCTTACCCTCACCTTCATCATCTGCCCATTGCAGAGTACTTTGAAAGAACCTAGTATCTGCCCATTGTGGTGAATTTTGAGTTAAACACAGACGCACACAGACACTCAGAGACGTTTATGGTCCCACCCAGCTTCTCATGATGAAATATGTGGTTTTATTCTGTGTGAGAGGGATTGCAGCTGTCTGTGGGTGGCCATGGTGATGACAGCAGATCGGCTAACTAGGGGAAATGATGAGAGGGTACGAGTTCTCAGGGAGCCCAGAAGCATCCGTATCCATGCTATTCTGTCCGAGCAAAGTCGCCCTTTAAGCTGCCATGGTAAGCTTCCCATTTCTCTACAAAGATGAGGAGTGGGATTTTAATGATTAAGATAAAACCTGCCCCCTGCTGTTGTTTATACCCATTATCACCATTCAGGGGATTGTGTGGCCATTACAAACTGATCATTTTCTGTAGGTCCAGCCATAGGTGTAGATCCACTGCTCTTTTCCACCAAAATTTATGGAATTAGGAAATATAAAAATGCTCAAGAAATAGCGCAGTTGGTAAAGTGTTTGCCTTGCTTGTGGGAGGCCCTGAGTTAGATCCCTAGAAAGGATGGTTTTGAAAATCTGGACATGGTGGCACGTGCTTGTAATTCCAATGCTGAAGAGGCAGAGACAGGTAGATCCACGGGGCTCCCTGACCATCGAATCTGGTGAGCCCCAAGCCAGAGGTAGACCCTAATAAGTAGATAGAACCTGAAGAACAACACATAAGGCTAACCTCTGGCCACACACACACAGGCACCCATGTGCACACGCACCTGCATACATGCATACAAGCGTGCAAAAACACTTACACACAACGCGTTAAGGGGAAGAAAGCACCAATGTGTCCAAGTCAGATGCTTGTGCAAACCAAGATGAGTTGCTGGGGGTGGCTGGGGGTGGTAATAGTGTTGTCTAAGCTGTAATAAAATGCCACCAAATCCCTAGAAGAGGAAGGGCTTGGGAGAGGTCTTTCCCAAGAACTGGACATGGGTCTGACCACCCCAATTTTCCAAGCGTGGTCAGACCCGGTAGAGTGTGCTCCAGGTACTTAGCTACCAAAGGGAAAAATGCCTTCCCAATGCCCGAGTTCTTCCTTCCCTTCCTCTTGCCTCCTTAGAACAAGAGCTACTCTGAGGAAGGCATGAGATTGCCACTGGTGAAGGCAGACATTGAATACTAGAGACTAGGGCTCTACTTATCAAAAACAAACAAACAAAAAAAAAACAATTTAGCCAAGAAAGTTCCTATGTCACTGCAGCCTTGGAAGAAGTCTCTTTGATGTGGCATTGGCACTGCTTTGTGCCTGGTGTTCCCTTGAGTCGGGCTGGCTGGTGGGACGTCTGGGTGCGGCATCTCATGGCTGTCCTTTGCTTTCCCCCAGAGAACACTGACAAGGACTATGTGGATATCTTGCCTTGAGGACAAGGACATGGGACAAAAACAAGCTAGACGAGAGATGGCTGGGCTCTCAGTGTCCATCTAAATCGCCAATTTCTAGCAGGTCTCTGAGACCCTCCTGATCTGGGTAGTGGGATCTTCTCTACTGCAACCTTGGAGAAGTCACTTTCTGCATGCCTGCCTTCTGGCACACTCACAAGAAGCTATAAAGCCACCACTCACCTGTCACTCTCCTGTCTTGGAATTGGATGGCCAGAATCCAGTCTTCTGACTGGTCAGAGGCACCGCCACTGGACCCCAGTTGATGGCATCTAAGGACAATGGGAAGGACAGCTTCATAGAGAGGAGAGAATACTCAGCAGTCTGTGACTTTGGACAACACACCCTCTCTAGTGTGGTTGAGTGGTTGATACACACTAACCTGGACCCTCTCTTGAGCCTGGTTGTCCCAGGTGGAGCTGGGGTCTGAGCAGAGGAATCAAGGTCTAAGGATACTGAAGAAGCAAACATGTCCTCCACCTGTGCAGGTCTTGGTCCTGATGAGGGCTGTGACCCATCCATGTTTCCTTTCCTTTCAGTTTGGGCTAGTCCCATCTCTTCTTTCTAAGGCTGGCTTTCTGCCAGACATTCCTATGGCCACAGTTTTTCCTAATTCTACATATGCAGCAACCACTTTACCAGCTCTGCCTTCTGATAAACGTGATAAAAATATTTATTTTATTATTTTTTTGGTTAGCATACAGAGAAATGGGTTTCATTTCAACCTTTTTGTACCCTATAAATCATTATACTCTGGGATTTTTGTTTGTTGTTGTTTCTCGCTCCTTTTTTTTTTTCTGAGACAGAATCTCAGTCTATCCTCAAGCCAGCCTCAAACTCAAACCTCCTCAGTGCTGGGATTACAGGCACAAGTGATCATATGTGGGCAATACTTTCTTCTTTCTTAACCTTCCTTTGTACTGTTCCATCCTTCCCTCCTTGCTGGAGCCCTCCTGTCCCCAAAGAGAACCCCTTCTGCCCATATTCCATTGCCTTCTCTGTTCTTCCTCCCGCCTCATCGTCCAATTTCTGAACTTCCGTGCCCTCCATATATATTTATATTTAAATCTTGATTTTACATATGAGAAAAATGTGGTTGGTCCCCTTCTGAATCTGATAAATTTCACTTAACATAATGACCTTCAGGACTGTGCATTTTTTGTGTGTAAATGCTCTAGGTTCATTGTTCTAATTCCATTGTGCATGTGTACCAACGTGCGGCTATTTTAAAGATGTTCTCGCATGGGTGTTTCTATTCCTGCCTACGTTCTAAGTGCCATCAGAGCATAGATGTGCCCCCCCTTGTGGAAACATGATGCACAGAGCTATGCCCTCTCTGCACATAGGAATTATGGACTGAAAGCATTTTTTTTTTTTCCTGAAGGATTGGATGAGTTGACTTTAAGGCCTCTTGAATTTTTCTGCTGGTTCAAAAATGTTAAACCAAGCTGGACATGTAGCTCAGCAGTAGAACACCTGCTTAGTATGTGCAAGGCCTTGGTTCAATCACCAGCATATAATAAATAAATAAATAAATAAATAAATAAATAAATAAATAAATAAATAAGTAAGTAAGTAAAATGAATTAAGGCCTGGTTAGAAGCCAAGTGTGGTGGTATACATATGAAATCCTAGCCACTTGGGGGGTGGGGTGGAGAATTAGAGCTCAGCCTGGGCTGCCCAGTGAATGAGAATGAGCACATGACTACTCCAAGGTGATGCTTAAGGAGAGGGCTTTATTGTAGATATGAGGGAGACAACAGCCAGAGTCATCTGGAAGAGTCTAGGCTGAACTGGGTCAGCGGACTGATGGACCATCGGGGAGGGGGTAGAAGGAAGGTAGGGGAGCAATAGAGGAAGAGAAGAGAGAGGAAACAAAGAGAGCACATGGGAACCAAGATACTCAGAGGCCAAACGAGGAATTAGGAACTGAGAGAGCCCATAGCCACATGACTCAGTTTACCCAGAAGAGAAGCTGGGAGAAAGGAAGCCCCTGGGCTGAAGACGTTCAGGGTAGGGGGCAGGGTGAGAAGAGCTGGGAGAAGCCACACATACTGAGTGAGACTTTCCCCGGGTTTCTTTGGGACCTGACACACAGCAAGATCTCTTCTCAAAAATAATAAATAGGCAGCCCAGTTAGTGCAGAGTGTACTCATTCTGTGCCTTTTGTTTTCAAACTGCAGTGGTCTATTTTGCAGAAAGGAACACCAGACTTCCAGATAACACAAACTGATTTTTGTCACCAGAGTCCCCAAATGTACATAACTGTGAATTGGGTCCCAGTAACCCCTTCACTGCTATCAAGTAGAGAGGGAGCCAAAATGGCAGCCATGCTCAGAGAGCTAAGGGGAGAAATCCTGCAGGCATCTTCAGTAGAAGATGCAAGGAGCAAGTCTGCTCCCTGAGATTCAGTTCCTGGTCTTTCATTCTATGGTGCCAATAAGCATGTTTCAATATCCAGAGCTTGCAGTAATCCTTGCCTAGGAAATATGTGTGTGTGTGTGTGTGTGTGTGTGTGTGTGTGTGTGTGTGTGTGTATA